ATAACTTGCCCAAGGACACACAATTATTAACTACATTTTAATGAAACTAAAAGGAATCTATTTTGAGTTATCCATGCAATTTTTGCACAAGTTTCTTAAAGAAATACATAGTTTCTAGGTAGGCGTTCATTTTAGCAATTAAGACACCCATACCCTACCATCAGGGTGTCTGGGCTGGACATCTGGCTCCAGTGTCTGACTCCAGCTTCCTGCTAGCACAGACCCTGGGAAGTAGCAGTGATGGTATAAAAGCTGGGTTCTTGCCACCCACGTGAGAAACAGAAATTGAGCTTCTGGAGCTTGGCTTTGCCCTGGCTAAGCTTTGGTCCTCACAGGATTTTGAGAGTGAACCAGAAGATGTGAACTCATTCCCCTGCCTCTCAAATAAAGAAAACTTAAAAGAGAAAAATACCTAGTTTTGGTAGTGTTATAACAGTTACATTAAAACTTCAAAAAGGCAGGCCTGGCACGGTAGCCTACCTGCTAAAGTCCTTGCCTTGACATGCTGGGATCCCATATAGGTGCCAGTTCTAATCCCTGGAAGAAGCTCCTGGCTCCTGGCTTTGGTTCAGAGCAGCTCTGGCCATTGTGGCCACTTAGGGAGTGAATCATCAGATGGAAGATCCTCCTCTCTGTATATCTGACTTTCCAATAAAAATAAGTAAATCTTAAAAAAAAAAAAAAACTTCAAAAAGGAGCATTAAGTTAGTAAACTTGATGATACGTTAGTTAAAAAAAATACTTTGAATCTCTGTGTCCTGCAGTACCTGTCCAACAAATAAAGGATGGCACCACCCGCATGCTCTGCAATCACACAGCACCTCCCCACCAGGAGCTGGATGGAAATACACAGAGCACTTGCACACTGTTCCCACGTGGGGAACATTAATCACCATCTAGTGGATGGGAAGCTAAATGAGGGCTGATCCTATCCAAAACACCAAGAGCACCCACGCAAAAAAAAAAAAAAAAAGAGAGAGAAACTAGAGGTCAGCATCCATGGCATAGCATGCAAAGCGTCAGCCTGCAGCACTGGCATCTCACAGGGGTGCTGGTTCATGTCCCAGCTGCTCCATTTCTGATACAGCTCCCTGTGTATGGCCTGGGAAAGCAGTGGAGGATGGCCCAAGTCCTTGGGACCATTCACCCAAGGGGGAGACCAAGAAGAAAATACTGGCTTCAGATTGGCTCCACTCTGGCCATTGTGGTCATTTAGGGAATGAACCAGTAACAGGATCTATCTTTCCTTCTCTCTCTGTAACTCTGCCTTTCAAATAAAAATAAATAAATCGGGCCTGGTGGCGTGGCCTAGTGGCTAAAGTCCTCGCCTTGAACGCGCTGGGATCCCATATGGGCTCCTGTTCTAATCCCGGCAGCTCCACTTCCCATCCAGCTCCCTGCCTGTGGCCTGGGAAAGCGGTCGAGGACGGCCCAAAGCCTTGGGACCCTGCACCCACATAGGATACCCAGAAGAAGTTCCTGGATCCTGGCTTCAGATAGGCATAGCATCAGCCATTGCGCTCACTTGGGGAGTGAATCATCGGACAGATCTTCCTCTCTGTCTGTCCTCCTCTATGTATATCTAACTTTCCTATAAATAAATAAATCTTTAAAATAAATAAATCTTCTTTAAAAAGAAACTATAGGCTGGTTCAAAAAGATGATGAAATTAACCTATTAGGAGACTGATGTGATAGCCTAGTGGCTAAATCCTGCCCTTGCATCTGCTAGGATCCCATACAGTAACCAGTTCACATCCCAGCTGCTCTATTTCCTATCCAGCTCTCTACCAGGCGAGAAGAAAAATAAAAAATAAATAAATAAAGCTGCAGGCAGCAGCTTTACTATGACATCACAGTGCTTATAAATCTTATTTTAAAAAGAAGAATATAGTTTGAAAATTCTAGTTTCAAGGATCACTTATGTCAATTGAAAATGTTAGACTGCCCTAATTCACTGACCATCTTTCCAAGGGCATCATGCTAATGGTGGTGCTAATAAGGTCTTAAAAACATTCACAAAATGGAAATCTAAGATGAAATTATAACTAAATACACACTTTCACATCCAAAGGGCATGCAGATAAATCAAAATATACAAAAGGACAAATTTAACTAGGAAGTATTTGGCTACACCCACCAGTACTCCCAAGCAGAAAGAAGTTTTGAAAAACTGCACTGGGACTTGTGGGCTTGGAGGAGATCTTCTATGCAGGTTTATTCTGTCATTGCTTTGTAGCCAGTGAAATTACTACACATGTGTTGGAAAGAACACAGAATCAGATTTTCAAAGCCTCAAGGTTTCTTTTTAGGTAGCAAAAATGAAGGTAGTAAATGAGATTCCTAAGACTAATGCCCTAAAAATAAAAATGAGCATTTCCTGCTCAGCTTTAAAAACAGAGTTACATTAACCAGGTAGCTCTCAGGCCCTAAGCTCTGTTTCCCTAGCATTCACCAAGGCATAGCAGAAGGGAAAAGGATGCATGTAGTCTAGGGCACAAGCCCAAGGCGCCGTCTTCAACACCAGGGCAGACCTGCTCCTAGCCTCCCTGCTGTGGCTGACAACCTGAGGCTTGCCACTCACCTCTTAGTCTTACCTCCTTCAACTCAGCTGCAAGCTGAATGGCTGCACACAGGCTCAAACAGTTCCTGATCAGACCCCTTAGAGCTGGCCTAAGAGAAAAATTTCACTCCAAGTGCTAAATCAAAGAGCATACAACATACTAACGAGGCCAGCAGCAGGAATACATCAGCAGTCAGAAGACCACGGGTCACACCAGGTATTTCACCTGTTTTTAGTCCCTGGGGTTTAGAGAGGTTCCTATCTACACACCTAATAGTGTTCTCATCTTGAATCTTTCCAAGACCCAGAAGAACAAAGACAGACAGGGCAGGAACTTCCACAAACCCCTAGCTCCGCTAAGATGAGCCCAATCAGACTTTCTCTGTCATTCTTCAGTGCATACAGGAGGTTATATAACTTTTAACTCTACAATGTTCCCCTCACCTAGTCTTCCCCTCATTGACTTTGGCCACCTTTCTCACACTCCACAAGATGATCTCAATGCCACAGTTGGATTCATCCCACTGCCTATACTCTTCACTGGCTTCCCTCTGATTTTAGAGGGAAAAAAAACTGACCAGCTTTCCTGATCAGATTTCTCACACTGTACCCTCCCTGTTAGAGCCACACCAGCCCTCCCACAACTTCTCAAAAGTGTTATTCCTCCGCACACCTCAGGGCCCTGGCATACACTGCGCCGTGAGCCTGGGCTGCTCCTCTCACTCACGCCTTTACTTCGTCCTTTCTGCCCCCTTTTGAGGTCTTGGGTCAAAACTCGGCAAAGCATTCTAAAATTAGCCATGATCCTGGTAAACTCTTTCACACCACTGGCTCTTGACAGCACATTTTACACTTGTATGAGATTCATCAAAAATCCATCCTGCCAGGGGCTAGCACTGTGGGTAAGGTGGTTAAGCTGCCATCTATCCTATACAATGTAATGCCAGCATCTTGCATCCTGGCAGCGGTTCAAGTCCTGAGGGCTCCTGTTAATATGGCTGGAAAAGTAGAAGATGGTCCAAGCTGCTTGGGCCTCTGCCACCCACATGGGAGACCTGGAGTTCCAACCTCCTGGCCTCCACTGGCCCCATGCACAGACGTTATCTTCTGTCTCTCCCTGTCACCTTTCCAAAAAATGAACTTTTTTCAAATAAGTAACATTTAAAAATCAGTCCCTCAGCATAACTATTGTACACTCTGGAAAGAAGACTGTGTTTTCTAAGCTCTAGCCTCAGCACAGGAAACACACAGCACTCATTCAACATCCATTAGTTGAATGAATATGTAAATAATGTTAGTCAAATGTTCTCTTGACCCAGCCCCTTACTACACTTTCCACTTTTCCACAAAGAAATCTACCACACCGGAACTTCTGATTCCCTCAGATACATTACTTCTCTCTACTTTGATTCTCCCTTCAAACCCTGTGGGATCTCCCTGACTAGAAAAAGTCCCTCTCAACCAAGAAAACACACACACCTGCTAAACTCCCACCGGCTTGCCCAGATCTTTCCCAGTTCTCTTTCCTCCAGGACAGCTAGCCAGCTGCCCGAAGCAGGAGTCCATACACCTGGCCCCGCAGCACACCCCCAAAGCACTTGGCATGTTCTTGGATAATTATATAGGAAAAAAAAAAAAAACCCACACATCCTTTAATGGCTGGGTGTGTGACTTCTCTCCCCAACACTGGTGTGTGAACTCCTAAAGGCTCCAGGCTGAGCAGCCCCACTCCTCCAAGGCCTAGCAGCACCAAGTCCCGAGTGCTTCCTAAATCCCTTCCGCCTTAACACACTACGTCTTCCTTTGAAAAGAAGCCCAGCTTCCTCTTTGTCCTGTGTTTCTCAGGTATTCCATTTGCCTATGACACTCAGCAAGTTTCCTTTTGGGATTTTTTTTTCTTTTTATGGGCTTCCCTTCCCCCACTGCAATCAAATTTCAAAAATGGTTTGAGTTCGCTGGCTCTGTGTCCTTGCCCCTATCAGGATCGTGTGCCCTCTGGAGGGTCCCCTGCGTGCAGTAAGGGGGGGGGGGACGTTCTTACGCCCTTTAACCTCCACGCCACGGTGTACACCTCCTGAAGGCTCCTCCGTGTGACCTACTACATACCATCCCAAGTCTTCGCCTGGGTATTCTGTCACCTGTCGCCGCCTTCAACCAGGTGGCACGGATTTGCTGTGACGCTCACAAGAGAACGGTCCCGGACGCCCTGGGTCTCTCTCTTTTTTTAAGCTCTGTCCTCTTTACCCCACCCCCTCCTCCTTAGAAACGAAAGCCAGGCCCCAGGCGCTGAGAAAGCGGACATATCCAACCAGACAGCTCCAGCCCCACCGCCCAGGCCTCGGCCCCTGCGCCCACCCCCATCCCTCCCCGGCGGCGACCGCAGCGCAAGCTCCGGCCCGGCCAGTGCTCGCCATCCGGAACAGCCATCGCTCACTGACCCAAGGCAGGTGTCAACCGAGGAAGTGGCAGCAGGTAGGTACAGGTACGGAGGCAGGCAGCCTGGCAGACGTTAACGGATCAGCGCTCCATCCCTCCCCGACCTAAGCTCCGGCCTCACGGCTTCCTCGACCCCAGCGCCCACACAGCAAGTCACGTGCCGGCCGGAGCAGTCAGCTGACCTGGCGCGCTTGGTGCGCCACTGCGCAGCCGCAGTCCCCGCCGCCGCCGCCGGGCCTGGGGCATGGGCGGGACCAGGCGCCTGCGGAGAGCCGGGGCCCCGGGAGTCTGGCGACCAGTTCCCGGCTGGATCCGGTTTCCAGCTGCTCGCAGGGTCGCCTGCCGAGTCTCGGCCGCCACTTGGGAACGTCACCGCAGCCATCCTTAACATTTTCCAAGAGAAGGTTTTTGCGGGTCAGAATTTCTGTTCAGTCCCCCATCTTGGGCTCCTTCGCATTGGGAATTTTCCTCAAACAGCCTCGCTGAGTAACATGCTTAGTAGTTCACGTCCCCTAATTCACATTTTCCTTGCCGTCTGCTTAGCTTCATTCCATAAATGTGCATAGTCCATTTGCCCTGCACCCACCGTGGTGCTGCTTTTGTTTGTGGGGTTTTGTTTGGTTTTGTTTTTGAGAATGACCTGCTGAAGCGAATCCTTCTCTCCAGGATAGCATGATGCTGGCCCAGGGGGAGCCTGTGGCCTCACAGACAGATGAACCTGCATCCACACATGGGACACAGGCATGGAAGCGGGAAGTGTGGCCTTTCTGAAAAGCAGGTAGCGGCTGCGCTGCTGAACCTTGCGTGTGCTTGGGAAGGTGTGTGTGTGTTGGCGGGGCGGTCCTCCAGTTTCCAACATCAAATTTGGGAAATAGCAGAGATTTGAGATTTTTCTACTTTTGTCCTTTTGGGCTAACAGGAAATTGCAAAGCGCCCTGGTGTGAAATCCCAGCTGTGTGACCCTGTGCTTGGAAGGGTCAGATTCTTCACCGGCAAAGTAGTGGTAATCACGCAGATAGAGGTGCTACCATGATTTAATCAAGTGTGCCTTTAGCACAGAGCTGGGCATTTTATCACGATGCCCAGGAAGCGACTGCTGCTGTTACTGTACATTATAAGGACCGAGGTCTTCTGACCTGTCCTGTCTTTCGAATGCTGCAATTCCTTGTGGAAGTTCATCAGATAATCTGTTAAGCTTCAGAATTAGAATGGACAAGAAGTACCAGTCAACTAAACCATCATGCACCTGATGAGCTTCAGGGGGTCTGGGTGAATTTTCAGGCAATCCCAATAACCAGCTGTGCGGGACAGCTGTAGAAACGTGTCAGAAATTTCAGAGGCTTTCTCTGGCATCCCAGAATGAACCTTCAGGCAAGACCCATTAACCTGCAACAGCTGTTGAGGACCTAAAATGCAGCCAGTGTGGCTCAGGGCCTGGATTCTGAAATGTGTTTCACTGTCATTAAACTTTTTTTCTTTTTTAATTGGAAAGACAGATTTACCGAGAGGAGAGACAGAAAGAAAGATCATCCATCCACTAATTTACTCCCCAAATGGTTGCAGTGGCTGGAGCTGAACCTAAACCAAAGCCAGGAGCCTCTTCCAGGTCTCCCTTGTATGCAAGGTCCCAAGACTTTGGGTCATCCTCTGCTGCTTTCCTAGGCCACAAACAGGGAATTGGATGGGAAGTGGAGCACCTGGGATACAAACTGGCACTCATTTGGGATCCCTGTGTCTGCAAGGGAAGAATTAGCCAACTTAGCCATTGTGCCAGACCTCACTTTCATTGAAGTTTAAACAAGCATACAGACTACTGACAAAGCAAATTTTTAAAGATTTTTTTTATTGGAAAGTCAGATTTACAGAGAGAGAATTTACAGAGATGTACAGAAAAAGGAGAGACAGAGAGAAAAATCTATGTTGGTTCACTCCCTAAGTAGCTGCCACAGCCAAAGCTGAGCTGATCCAAAGCCAGGAGTTTCTTCCTGGTCTCTGATGTGGGCGCAGGGCCTCAGTGCTTTGAGCCGTTCTTCACTGCTTTCCCAGGCCACAAGCAGGAAGCTGGAAGAGAAGTAGAGCAGCGGGATAAAAACCAGTGCCCATATGGGCTCCCAGCAGGTGCAAGGCAAGGATTTAGCCACTAGGCTACCACACCAGGCCCTGATGGAACAATTTTAAGATGTGCATTCGAAACTTCGTGGATTCTCCATGTGTTAAGAGCAACTACTTCCAGGCCCTGTGAGGTAGCCTAGCAGCTAAAGTCCTCGCCTTGAACGTGCTGGAATCCCACATGGGTGCCGGTTCTAATCCCGGCAGCCCCACTTCCCATTCAGCTTCCTGCTTGTTATCTGAGAAAGTAGTTGAGGACGGCCCAAAGCCTTGGGACCCAGCACCGATGTGGGAGACCTGGAGGAAGTTTCCAGCTCCTGGCTTCAGATGGGCTCTGCACCGGCCATTGTGGTCACTTGGGTAGTGAATCATCAGACGGAAGATCTTCTTCTCTATCTCTCCTCCTCTCCATATATCTGACTTTGCAATAAACAAACAAATAAATAAATCTTTTTTTTTAATCAAAAAGATACATTTATTTTGGTGCAAAAACAGTTTTGACATCTAAGCCCTCAAAGGGGTTTTCAGAAAGGTTATAGAAAAAAGGGAGTATGAAAAAAAATATGGATTTCAAAATTATTTTTACACTAACAAAAGCTTAACTTTTAATTATAATTTTCAGTGAACTTTTTTATTTATCATTTTGCTTTAATTTTCTTTTTTTATAATTTTATTTTATTTTTTTAATAAAATTTATTTTGACATTCTTTACATAGTTAATTAGGGTAAGAAGGTTCAAGGGGTACAAGAAAGTGGATAATACTAGTATGTTTTCCATATTGTTTCCTTCATGTTTAAAGGGGGGTATTAAGGGAGAAGGCCCACCCAATTTCCCACCCTCCCCAGGTCCTGGATGTAGGGCATGCTCTGAGGTTCTTGCTCAAGTGGTTTTGATATTGCAACAGTTATGAATCGCTGTCAATCTTGCCACTCCAAGCACTATGAGGTCTTTGAAAAATCCACTGATTGACATAGTCCATCATAGCTGAGATGGTTGGTTGACTGTTCTGTCTTCTCTCTTTTCTTCGCTAGGGTTCTGAGTCCAGCATTTAGAATAGGAAGATCTCCAAAGAAACTTCTTGTGTGTGCTAACAAGTACAGGGCCTGGCACCGTCCATCGCTCCAATCAGCTGGTGGTTGCAATTGCTGCGTTGGTTCTGTTTTCACTCCCGACTTCCACTGGAACCAATGGGTGTTGTAATCCAGCCTGGTTCTGCCCAGCGCAGAGCATCTACTTCCAACTATCTTTCTTTACTTCCGAGGATACATGTAGGGTGCTGTGTTCGATAGATGCTCACTCCAATTGGTATTACACCTAACATATCTTTTGTAGCAACCTAACAGATGTGTTTAATGCAAGGGGGCTTGAAAATGTTCACGGGAAACAACATCTTACCATTTAATTCTGTCTTTATATTCTCTTCATACAAGTTGGGGCATGAAGCTTCATAGTTGTTCCTAATTGTAAGAAAATGTATTTTCACAAAGAAAAAGGCAGTTCACTTTCTATACTGTGTGAATGAGCCTACTAGGTGTGTAAGTATGTACGAGGCATGCCATGCCTTCAGCTCTTTCCCAATCATGTAAATAATACTATCTGAGGGGGCCATTTAACCTAATGATAAAGCTGTTCACATCCCACATGGAGTGCCTGTTGGATTCCCACTCCAGGCCCTTAACTCCAGCTTCCCACGAATGCACACCGAGGAAGGTTCAAGGATTTGTGCTCCTGTCAACCTGTGAGAGACCTGTGTTGAGTTGCTGGCTCCTGGCTTCAGTCCAGCTCCAACTATTGTGGGTACTTGGGGAGTAAACCAACAGATAGGAATACTTGTGCATTCTCTCTCTGCCTCTCCTTCTCCATCCCTCCCTTCCTCCTTTGCTGTGCAACAAATTAATTTTTAGACTTCAAGATACAAATAAATACTACCTGTCTAGAACTAGCTACTATGCTTAAAGTACCCATGACATACATAGAGAATTTTTCCTTGGTTTTATTTTTTTATTGGAAAGTCAGATTTACAGAGAGAAGGAGAGACAGAGAGAAAGATCTTCCATTGCCTGGCTCACTCCCCAAGTAGCCGCAGTAGGTGGAGCTGAGCCAATCCAAAGCCAAGAGCTTCTTACAGGTGTCCCAAGACTTTGGACCATTCTCTACTGCCCTCCCAGGCCTCCATCAGGGAGCTGGAAGGGAAGTGGAGCAGCCAGGACATGAACCGATGCTCATATAGGATCCCAGCCACTAGGCTATCCTTTCCCTTTTCCTTTTTAAAAGAAAAATTAATTTAATTCTCCTTTATTAAAATTCTGAGTGTATCTATGTATAATCTATATAATCTGAGCTATCTATAGTTCTGTCCTCCAACCATTTCCATGTCTGATCACTTCTAGTACCGAGTCCTGTTATAACAGCCCATATAAGTATAAAGCTGAGCAAAAGTGGAGTGCCATCTTTAAAAACTAAATAGCCACTTGGGCAATGCATTATTAAGAACAGAACCTAGATAGTCTTTAAATACTGCATGGAAAGTCCTCATTGTGCATTATAGAAAGGATGGACACATGTCAGTTATTACAGAAATGAAATAGGACCATTTTTAAAAAGCAATCATTTTTATTGGAAAGGTAGATCAGATTTATATAGAGAAAAACAGAGAAAGATCTTCCATTAGCTGATTCACTCCCCAAATGGCCACAACAGCTAGAGCTGAGCCAATCCAGAGCCAGGAGCTTCTTCCAGGTCACCCATGTGGCTGCAGGGTCCAAAGGCTTTAGGCCATTCTCTGCTGCTTTCCCAAGCTTTGTGCAGGGAGCTAGATGGGAAGTGGAGCAGCTGGGACATGAACAGGTAGCACTTTCAAGGTAAAGATTTAGCTATTTAGCTGTTGTGTTGAGAGTGTACCCCAAAATCAGATAAAATTTTAACAAACTATTTAAACTATTTTCTTAAGGAGACTTCTTCCATTGCCAGGTATTTTGAATAGCTTCCTGATCAGTCACCTGGGAGTGAATGCAATTGGCTTCCACTTTGGAAAGAACCAGCTTTTCCTATA